TACTGTAATTTTAATTCTTTGTGACATGTAGGGACTTGGTTTATATCTAGCATAGAATTAGTATTTATTTACTTATTTATTTGAGATGGAGTATTATTTATTTTTTTTTTTTCTTGAGATGGAGTCTTGCTCTGTCTCCCAGGCTGGAGTACAGTGGCTTGATCTTGGCTCACTGCAACCTCTGCCTCTTGGTTAAAGTGATTCTCCTGCCTCAGCCTCCCGAGTAACTGGGATTACAGGTGCATGCCACCATGCCCGGCTAATTTTTTGTATTTTTAGTAGAGACGGGAGTTTCACCATGTTGACTGTGTTGGTCTTGAACTCCTGACCTCAAGTTTTCCAACCGCCTTGGCCTCCCAAACTGTTGGGATTATAGGCGTGAGCCATCGCGCCCGGTCAAATTATTTGTTATATTTTTATTTTCTTTCCTATGTACTTCCTTTCTTCCTTTCCTATGTACTGCCTGTTTCCCTTTTCAGTCTGATCACAGGGTTTTTCCTTATGTTTTTAAAACCTCACTAAGTGCGGAATAATAACGATGGTGATATTATATATTATGTAGTGTTTTCAAACTTATTTTACAGCTGAAATCTTATTTTTATCTTCACAACAGGTATCTGAGGTAAGCAAGCCATGTGTAAATTTATTTTTAATTTTTTTATAAAAAAATTTTAGAAAATAATAGAGATGGGGTTTTGCCATGTTATTCATGCTGGTCTTGAACTACTTGCTTCAAGCAGGCTGTCAGTCTTGGCCTCCCAAAGTGCTGGGATTAGAGGCATAAGCCACCACGCCCAACCTCTTCGTGTTTTTTTGTTGTCGTTTTTGTTGTTTATCACACAGGATCTCACTCTGTCATTCAGGTTGGAGTGTGGTGGCTCAGTCAGTTCACTGTAACCTCAAACTCCTGGGCTCAAGGGATCCTCTTGCCTCAGCTTCCTGAGTAGCTGGGTGCATGCTGTCATGCCTGGCTAAATTTTTTGATTGTTGTAGAGATGGGGTCTTGCTTTGTTGCCCAGGTTTGTCTTGAACACCTAGTGTCAAGCGATCCTCCTGCCTTGGCCTCCCAAAGTGCTGGGATTACAGGTGTGAGCCACCACGCCTGGCTTGTAAATTTCTTGTTTTGCTGGATTAAAAACTTGCAATCAAAGTGTTAACTACAGTTATTTTTGGTTAAAATCACATAGCTAGTAAGTGTTAGCAACAGAAATACTCGGGCTTTTGTCCTAGATCAGGGCCCTTTCCACTGCTGTTATGACTCCACTTTATGCATACTGGTATAATGTAATGCAGACTTAACATTATTTTCTTTCAAGATTTCTTTCAGACTGTCATATTACCAACCACTTACTCAGAATTCAATCCAGAGATTGTTGCTTTGTCACAAACTTCCTAAAAAAAGTAATTGTCAACAAGCCAGGTCAATAATTTGCCAAATTTTCTTTACTCAGCAAAATATGTCTTTGAGCAGTTGTCCCTGCTCGTTGTTTTGCTTGTTTGCCCATTTTGTAATCTGTGTAAGGACTCTATCGATGTATTATGTATCTATGTATTAGTTTCCCAGGCCTGCTGTAACAAATGAAAGGGTATTGAACTTCATTAGTTGTCAGAGAAATGCAAATTAAGACCAAAATGAGAAATGACAAGCTGGGTGGCTTAAAACAACAGAAATTTATGCTTTCATAGTTCAGGAGGCCAGAATCCAAAATTAAGTGGTTGCAGAATTGGTTCCTTCTTAGCAACTCAGAAGGGAAATCTGTTCCAGGCCTCTCTCCCGGCTTCTGACAGTTGCCAGCAATCCTTGGCGTTCCTTGGCTTGCAGCTGCGTGATTTTGATCTCTGCCTCCTCCTTCACGTGGCTGCCTTCCCTCTTGTCTGTCTTTACATGGCACTCTCCCTTCCCTGTGTGTCTGTCTCTGTGTCTCCTCTGCTCTTTAAGGACAACAGTCACATTGTATTCAGGGCCCACTCTACTCCAGCATGATGTCATCTTAACTTAGGCCTTAATTACATCTGCAAAACCCTTGTTTCCAAAGAAGGTCCCGTCCTATTCACAGGTACCAGAAGTTAGGACTTCAACATATCTTTTGAGGGGACACAATTCAACCCATTAAAATATATGTTATTTTTCCTTTGTCTCTACTTCTACTCTTGTGATATGTTTACCCATGTGCTTCCCACAAGTGTCTGTTGAATTGATCTTGTTTATAGATTTCCAATCTCCTCACGTAATTTATATATACAGTCGTGTTGCTTAACAACAGGGATATGTTCTGAGAAATGTGTCGTGAGGCGATTTTGTTGTGCAAATATCATAGAGTGTACTTACACAGACTAGATGGTATAGCCTTCCTACATACCTTGGCTTCATGGTACAGCCTGTTGCTCCTGGGCTGCAAACCTGTACAGCATGGTACTGTACTGAATACTGTTAGCAATTATACAATGTTAAGTACTTGTATATCCAAACATATCTAAACATAGAAATGGTACACAACGTAAGAGATTAAAAAATGGTTCCAATCACAGCTGCGTCTTAAAAAATAAAACAAAATAAAATAAAGTAAAATAAAATAAAATAAAATAAAATAAAAAATGGTACAGCTATCAGGGCACTTACCATGAATGGAGCCTGCAGGACTGGAAGTTGCTCTGGGTGAGTCAGTGAGCAAGTGGTGAGTGAATGTGAAGGCCTAGGACCGACCATACGCTTCTGTAGATTTTATAATCACTGTACACTTAGGCTACACTAAATTTATTTAAAATTTTTTTCTTTGTTCTTGGGAGTATAGAAATATACTTAACCTTTATATGTGTTGACCTTTTATCCAGAAACTTTGCTAAACTCGCTGGTTAGTTCTGATAATTACATGTAGATTCTTTTGAAATTTCTATGGAAATGTTCATGTTATGTACAAATAATAACAGCTTATATCTTTTTTGTTTTCTTTTTTTCTTTATTCAATACAGTATCAGAGGTTCTGGTGATAGCAGTCATTCACAATCTCAAGGGGAAAGATATCAACATTTCACTGAAAAGTATGATTTTTGCTGTGGTTTTAAAATACATACCCTTTATGAAATTAATGAAGCTCCCTTTCTGTTCCTAGTTTGCTGAGTTGGTTTCTTTTTTTCTTAATTGTGAGCCAATGTTAAATTTTACCAAATGTGAGTTGTGCATCTGTTGAGCAATTGTAGTATGATTTTTCTCCTTTATTCTACTTGTGTGGTAAATTACAGTGATTGATTTTCAAATATCAAACCAACTTTACATTCCTAAAATAAGTCCAATTTTGTCATGTCCTTTTTATATATTGCTGAATTGGACTTGGTAACATTTGGCTTAGTATATTTGCATCTATACTCATTAGTGAGAATGGCCTGTAATTTTGCTTTCTTATAATATCCCTGTTAGGGTTTGGTATCAAAATTATGTTGGCCTCATAAAATGAGCTGAGGAATGTTCCTTCTACATTCTGTAAGAGTTTATGTAAGATTGCCTCTTTTTTTTTTTTTGTCTTCTTTAGTTTTTTATAAATTTACCAATGAAACCACCTGGGTGTGGAGTTTTCATTGTGGTTAGTCTTTCAATTAGGCTGTCAATTTTTCAGTAGATCTAGAACTCTTCAAAATTTCTTTCTGTATCAGGTTTAGCAAAAAGTGTTTTTCTTAATGTTTGTCTGTTTTACTTAAATGTTCACATTGATGGCATTAAGTTATTTATAATATTCCTGTTGTGATCTTTTTGTTTTCAGCAGTGATACTCCTTTTTTTCATTTTTGGTATTAATCTCTGTTGTTTTTTTTTCCCCTGTGGGTCATTCTTGCCAGGTTTTTATTAGTCTTTTTAAAGAACTAACTTTATTTTGTTGACTTTGTTGTGTTTCTTATTTAATTAATTTCATCTATGTAAATTTATTGCCCTCTATTTTCTTTGGGTTTAATTGGCTGCTCCTATTGGCTGTTCATTTCCTAACCTCTTTTTAAATATATATGTTTAAAGGCCAGCCATTTCTCTCTAAGCATAGAATTATCTGTATCCATAAACTTTAATTTTCATTGTGAATCAGTTCAGAATATTTTCTACTTTTCATTATGATTTTTTTGACCCATTAATTATTTACATGGATATTTCTTAATTTCCAAACATGGGAATTTTTTAATTTTTATTTATTTATTTTTTTGAGATAGGGTTCCACTCTGTCACCCAGGCTAGTGTGCAGTGGCACGATCTTGGCTCACTGCAACCTCCACATCCTGGGTTCAAGTGATTTTCCTGCCTCAGCCTCCCAAGTAGCTAGGCACCCACCAACACGCCCAGCTAATTTTTGTATTTTTAGTAGAGATGGGATTTCACCATGTTGGCCAGTCTGGTCTCGAACTCCTGACCCCAGGTGATCCACCCACCTCAGTCTCCCAAAGTGCTGAGATTACAGGCATGAGCCACTGCGCCAGGCTTAGAATTTTTTTAGTAATGTTTTGGTTGTCGATTTCTCACTTACTTGCAGTGTGGTCAGAAGGCATACTGTAATTTTAATTCTTTGTGACATGTAGGGACTTGGTTTATATCTAGCATAGAATTAGTATTTATTTACTTATTTATTTGAGATGGAGTATTTATGAGAATTAGTATTAACTAATTTATTTTTTTATTTATTTATTTGAACCACAGCAGCCATCTAGAATTGATCTTTATGATTGCTCCATGGGTATGTGAATAAAAAAGACATAAACTGCAGTTTGTAGATGTATGGTTCTCTGCATTTCAGTTAGGTCAACTTTATTAATGAGGATTTTAAAAATCCTATCGTTAGTCTTTTTTTATTATTCTTTTGTTACTGAGGGATATGTTCTGAAATTTCCCATTATGATTGTGGATTTGTCTGTTTCTTCATTTAGTTTTATCCGTTTTTGTTTATATATTTTGAGGCTATGTTATTAGGTGCATATGATATTTAGAAATATATTGAATTGGCTGGGCATGGTAGCTCATACCTGTAATCCCAGCACGTTGGGAAGCCGAGGCAGGGGGATCACCTGAGGTCGGGAGTTCAAGACCAGCCTGGCCAATATGGTGAAACCCCGTCTCTACTAAAAATACAAAAATTAGCCA